TCCGGCACGCGGGCAGACGTTCCCGGTCCCTTCCGCAGGGAAGGCTTCTCTGGCTTTTGTTTGGCATACCGCTCCCAAGTACCTTGCATACCTCTAATAGTGGGCATACCACAGCTTGGAGGCCCCGCTTTCATCTGCGGAGTGGCACAGGAAGAGAACAAAGACCTGCTAAGTATTATTTTTTTAAGGCAGGTCACATTTTTACCAATTATATATAATAGATCACTGGAAAGACCTATTTTTAAATTAATCTGCTTTTGCTATCTGCCGCGAGCTATTTTAACACCGCTCAAGCATTCACCTTGCATCATATTGTTATTCCTTTTTCCCCTGCTGCTCTGTTTTAAATCCTCCAAGCATAATTCCCGAGCAGTAAACGGTACCGAGGAATGCAGCTTGGAATCCGTTTGGGCGTCGTTGATGAGTCTGTGCGAGCGCGAGATAGCCGGTGCGCGCGGCAGCCCAGCACCCTCGGCGCTCCCCACGCACAACCCCCAGCGTTCGGTGTCTCCGGGATCTACGGATGCGTTTTCGGGGGGCCGCAGGCTCCCCGGGGGTCTCTGCGTTGCGTTTTGGGGCCGCAGGGCTGCTTTGCCCTGTGAGTGGTGACACTGTGCGCGGTGTAGGAGGAGGACTGTTCCTCGCACACCCTGCCAGGTGTGATTGTTGTTGGCGGTGTTCGTAGGACCGGAACGCAGCGGGTCTTGGCCCGGGATGGGGCGGCACGAGGACGAGCAGGGGATTTAGGTGCCTGGGAGCGCGCTCTGGGAGCGCGCTCTGGGAGCGCGCGCCCCCGCGCCCCTTGTGCGCACGCGCGCCGGCCCCTCGTGCGCGTGCCCGCGCGCGGCCCCGCACGTGCCGCCGCCCGCGCGCTCCCGGTGACCCCCAGGTGACGCGTCGCGTCGGAGTGACAGTCTGGCCACCCAATGGGAAGCCGCGACGCAGCCCCCACTTGGCTGGTTGAATGGGAGGCGAGCAGCCAATAGGAGCGCGCGGGGAGGGGGGCCCGGCCGGGGCTGCTGCCGGGCGGGCCGCGCTGCGACCCCGCGGCCGCCTCTCAAGGTAACTTCGCAACAGGAAGTGGACGACGAGGTTGCGCCGGCGGCGCCGGCCAATGGGCGCGCGGGGCCGCGGCGCCTCCGGCGGCGCGCGGCCAATGAGCGGCGAGCGGGCCGCGCTGGGCGTGGGCAGCAGGGTAGGCTGAGAGGCGGCCGTTAAAGGGGCCGGCGCTGCCCCGGTGCGGCGGGGACGCGGCGTCCCGGCGCGCAGGGGTCAGCTCAAAGACAAAGGCGATGGCGGCGGGCGGCGGCGGCGCCGGCCCGGTGAGGCGATGGCGGCGGGCGGCAAGGGAAAAGCGGGGGCGGCGGCGCGGGCCCCGGTGGCGCCGGGGAGGGCGGGGGGCGCTCCCGGTGGCCGCTTTTGTGCGGCGGGGGCGGCCCCGGGGGCGGCGACGTGGCCCCCGCTTCCCTCCCCGTTCCATCTACCGGCGGCGCGGCCGGGGACCGCGCGCGCCCCGCCGTTACCCCCCTCCCCCTCCGTTACCGGAGCCCGGAGCGGGGGCGGGTGCAAAATGGCAGCGCGGCTTCCGCGGGCCCCGCCGCCCAGCCCGGCGGCCCCCCGGGGCAGCGGCGCCCACAAGCGGCCCTTTGTTTTGCTGCCGCCCGGCGCTGAAGGTCACCGGAGCGGTGACAGGCGGCGAGCGCGGCCCGGCCCGGCCCGGCTGCTCCCCCTGGGCCGGGCCCGGCGGGCGCCGCAGCGGCGGGAGCGCCCGGGCTGCGCGGGCCCGTCCTCCGCGCGCCTGTGACCTTGAAGCGCCGCTGCCCCGCGCGGGGCGGCCAAGGACAAAGTTTGTTAGCGGCACTTTGAACTGGGAAGGACGCGCAGGAACGAGCCGGGGGGGAAAAGAGCCTCCGTCGGAAAGCGGAGCGGCCGCCGGGGGCCCGGAGGGCGGCAAGGACACAGCGAGGTGGGAGTTGGAAGTTGGTTGGCGCCGGGGGCCGGAGCGCGTGGGGCCCGCGATGCTCCGCGTCGCTGTCGCGGCGGGGTGGGCCGCATCGCGGTCACCGTCCTCCTCTTACCTTCCTTTTCCCCCTCCAGTTGTTAATTATTGGCCTCAAAGTGCTGTTTTTGCAACCAGGGGCCGGTGGTTTTTGCAGTGTTTTTAGAGAAATGAAGAAGCGGGCCCTTGCTCACCCCAGGGCGCCTTAAGGGGATCCGTGTGTGGATGTTACCTGCCAACAAAGGGCCCTGGTAAAGGATTAAGCCTCAACCCGAGAGGTCTGGGAGCTGTTGTGGCCCTTACGTGTTATTTTCACAATATTCATTGAAACTGAGGCGGGTGAGTAATATCACCTTTTCTCAGGCCAATCTGCTTCAGTTTCCTGTGGCTTCTGGTTTGTCACATCAGCTTCAAATCTGCGAAGGAGGCAGAATGAGGGACGTGTCACCCGGAGCCATCTATTAATGCCAGGAGGCTGTTCAAGTCGGTCAGCGGAACAGCAGTAACTTGTGGAGCAGCCTGGGAGCAGAGGATTGTGCTGCTGACGTGAAGGTCACTGTCAGCATCTCTGAGCACAAGTGAGATCTTCCCTATGAGAGGCAAATTTTCCACGCAGTTGGGATGAGTTTGGCCTCTCTGGGCTTCCAAAGTGCGGCAAAAGGCAGGAAAACAGCTAATTTCAGATAAACCAAGAAATCCTGCAGAAGTCTTTATTGCGCTCGGTATTTATTGTATTTCATTTCCAAAGATTGCAAGAGGTTATAGCCGTCTAAGAGCAGGTCGTTCTTGATCTTTCTAGGTCAAGAGCAGCAGGAAAAATATAAAACTTTTAGTAGAGCTGTGACGAAGTAAGGAGCAGGTCCCCGGTGCCCAAAGGGCCCTTGGTTTTCCTGGTAGTTTCATGTGCTAGAACTGCAGCCTTAGGAAACAGACTCTTATTTCTGTTTGAGGGGCTGCTGTGTGCGTGTTTTTGGTGTTTACTTAACTGGTAGTGCACATAATGGAGGTTTAAAGGACAAGTTTATTGTGGGAAATTGGTGTCCCTGAGTTGAAAGCCCTCATGAATGTGGGGGGGAAAGATGTCTGTGTGCTCCATATAATGGTGGTAGGTGCCTGTGAAAGGTCACCTTTCAAGCGGCAGTTCATATATACACATATATGTATGTGTGTGTGTATATATATATAATATATGATATTAATTAGGCTAGGATCTTGCATTATATAATGTAACATGGCACCCGCATTTTTAATAGTGCGGTCACATGAAGCAGTTTCTTAATTTCAGAACTTAGTAGCCTGTCCCTGTAGGAAAGGAATTAAATTTGTATGGTTACTAACTTAAACCTCCTATAATTATTATAATGTTTTAATTAAAAAAAAAGTAGTTTATGCTTCAGAGAGACAAAAATACAGCAACTGTAATGTGGGCTCTTATTGCAAGATCAGACTCCAGGATACCTGCCAATTTTTCAGGAGTTCCAGGAAGTTTTTTAGCTTTGTTCTCTAAAACTCAGGCTTTCTGCATCCCAAGTTCTCTTTTGGGGCATTTTCTTGCTTTCCTATTTGGTCGCTTCCTGATAAATCCTGGTTACTCTCGTGTGTCTCTTCCGTTCACTGAGGGTGACCTGGAGGCGCCTGGATTTGCATGTTTATGGTAAGGGCTCGTAAAAAGCACAAGCGGAGGAAGGCCTGATGGGGCCATCCTGTCTGCGTGCTGAGCGGTGTACATTTTGCTGATCTTAAGGGACAAAACCGATTGATTATAGGTTAGTGCAGCTTTGCCCTTTGCCTTCAATTTGTCCCGAGTTCTTGTGAACAACTCTTGTTTGCCATTCATACTTTTCTAAGGAGTTTCTGCTGCTGTTTTGCTGTGGTTTAAAATGCCTCCCCCGCCCCTCCCAACCTTTCCCCCTCTAGCAGGCTAGACTGAGCCTAAAAATGCAAGAACAGGGCAAAGAAGCACACAGCCTGGTACGTAGCACTGAAATCAAAGCAGAACTTTGCCCTGAATGTGCTGCAGCCTCTGGGCATTAGAGCCCAGTCTGTTCCAAGGGCTGCCTGCGTCCTGCCCTAACCAGGGGGGTTAATAGCAGTCGCCCCTGTCAGGTTGTTAAGCCGAGTGACTCGGCTTTCCAAAGACTAGGAAAACAGGAGGGCATTCAGAGGTCTCTTTTAATGCAGAACACTCTTAATTTCATGCAGAATTATTTGTAAATAGTTTAAAGCCTATAGAGACTAACATCAAAGAATTCCCCACCTGTGCAGGTGTCTTTTGGCCAGAAGAGCAGAATTTCTGCCCAGGAGCTGAAACTCAAGAAGAAAGGGGCAGATGAAACCAAACACTGAAGCCAGAGCCCTTGTGCACGTGAGGCTGCTCCATTTGAGCTTCTGGGGATGGCAGAGGCCAAAGAGGCCTCTTAAATGAGTGCTTTGGTATTAATAGGTACCAAACTGCAGAAGCCTAACACTTTTTGCTGGATTTTGAAATATTTCAAGTATTTTCTGAAAAAACAGAGCCCATAACTTTAGCACCGATTCTTGCTCCTAAATAGTACTGCTGGGTCCTGGAAATATTTTTGTTCACGTTTTAACTTTTTGACTTTTAATACATCGAGTCCATGTGTTCTGTGGCTGCTTGATGTCACTGCAGCTATGACACTTCAGTCCTCAGTGGTGCAAGTCCCGATAAGATGCAGAGCCAGGTACCACCCTCACGATTTTGCCAGTTTTGTGTCTTTTTCATTAAAGTAAAAATTAATAACTACTGCAGACCGAGGCAGCGTAATTTTGCTAAGGTGAGATAGACACTGCTCTTTTCTCATTATCCCCATTAAGGGTGCGATTAAAGGGAAGCAAATAAAATGTATACCAGGGCTGAGGAATATTTTGCAGGATTTGTAGCTTGTAATTTCTTCTAGATTTTATGAAACTGCAATCATAGCACCACTTGGATCTCAAGAATCCAATTCTGGCATTAAAGACGAAGCACGCAACGTGCGGTTTTGTTTTCTGTAGGTGCCAACTACTTTATGGCATGAAGTAGACCTGACGGACTTGAACACTCTTTAGGTAAAGAGCTTTTCCATTTCTCCGGGATGTTTAATTTAAGAGCCAGTCAACAGGATTTGTCTTAGATTCTTGTCATTATTTGCCTGGAATTCTTTTTCTTCATCTACTTCTTGTTCTGTATGCTGGGCTGCCCAAGTTGTACCGCAAAGGGAGACTGTTTAATAATGGCTATCTGCTGAAAAAACAAATGTAGCCCCTTGTGCTCCTTAATTCATAGAACGGGAAGTAAAATAACCAGCACAAACAGTGATTGAAATTACTTTGCTTTACTCTTTTTTTTTTTTTTTTTTTTTTTTTTTTTTTTTTAAAGAATAGAGGTGTTTTCTTTCTGTTGTTGAGAGCCCAGAGGCACCGCAGTGTCTCGTGGCGCTTCATGCCACGCTCTACCAGCCTCTTCCCTGGGTTATTTTAAACCCCTGCAAGGAGATTCCAGGCTTATTTTATTCCGCTGCCGCTCCTGGTAGTGGCCACGGAGCCAGGATTTGTGTGCGGTTTTGAAGGGACTTGTCAACCTGCAGCGCACCAAGTATGGCATTTTACGTAATTAACACTTTATGCAATTGTGCGAGCGAGGCCTGAATGTCGAGTGGAAGAAATCATTGATACCAGCAACTATTATTTTTTTTTTCTTCATTCTCCCACCCCCAAAAAAGTAAAAGAGAATAATTCTTGCCTGTGTTTCTGGCACCTTTGTGTTTCCAACTGTGCTACCTATCCCACTGCTGCTCCGTCTAGAGACCGTTTAAAGAAACATGGTACTAGATACGTATTAAGTGACATATATTCTCCTTGTGAAACGAGTTCTTGGTTGCGAGATTGTTCCTCCTGATTCCGGCGGGATCGGGTGTCTGCGCGTGGTGCCGCACAGAGCTCCTTCCTCAGCCGGGCAGGTGGCTCTGAATTTTACTTTTAAATCGAGGGACGGAATCGCCACAACTGGAGCGATCTGTTCGGGAGGCAGCGCTTCAGGCTTAAAGTATCATAGGGCGCCCAAATTAAATTAGTTTTTATTCTAAGTAGTCATTTTTCAGCTCTGTAGATCAGTTTGTAATTCTTCAGATGCCCTTTTTTTTTTTTTTTTCCCTAGGTGCTATGGCATCTTTTAAATTATTTGCTAGTAAATATAGTATATTTAAAAATATACAATACACAGTCGCTGCATTTTTCTTTTTCTTTTCTGTCACTTCATAATAATCAGATTTCTTGTGAGGTCTGTGGGATAGCAGTTCTTATAAAACTGAGAGCATCTCAAGAAGAGGCATTTTGGGGTGGTTCTTCTAAGTATTGTCCAGCCAGGGGTGGTAATTCTATATGTCAGCAATAGTGGAATCTGCTGGCAGGGAAGAGAACGGTGGTTTTGCCACGGCTATATTCAGAAATAGTTGTGCGTTACCCTTATTTGTAACTATCAAATAAGGATATTGAAGCGAAACATTTTGTGTAAGGTGGAATTTCAGGATCAGGGATCTGGGTTTTATTTGTGGTTATGCTGTGGCTTCTATATTCAATAACAGCCTCTTGGGCATGCAGGTTTGGGGCATGGGATGAGATGGCTTCATGTAAAGGAGGAGCCTCAGATAAAGTCGCTGGTTATGTCTGTGCTCTTGTTTTCTGCTCCTGGAAATTGAAGCTCTTTATGTCACCTGCCAGGATTTTGTAAGCTTGTCTGTAAGGGGTGTTGCACTCCAGCAAGCAGAAAAGCTCTGATTGCAAAGCGTTGATGTCTTGGTTCTTGAGATGTCTTAGTTCTTGAGATGCACTTGTTCGTTTATTCTCTGAACACCTCAAGGCATTTTAGAAATAAGCTTTAACTTTTAGCCTTCACTTCCTTCTTTTTCACCTGCAAAACAGGTATATCCCAGCTCTCCCTAAATGTCCTCGTTTCTTACCACGCCTCCTCTCTGCGAGTCACTTGGAGAGAATCTCTGGGGTTCCTTGGCTCTCGCTCCCTGCTAATGCCTGGTTCTTTCCCTGTTTCTGCCAGTTACCAGGATGTCCACGGACGGTGGCTTCGGCACGGCTGGCAACAGCGATGCTCAGCAGAGCCTCCAGTCCTTCTGGCCACGTGTCATGGAGGAGATACGTAATCTCACGGTGGTAAGCATTGCTCTGCGTAAGAGAGAGTAAAGAAACTGCATTGATTGCTAATATCTGCTAGTAAATTGAGTCTTGATTTGGACATATTCTTGCTTCCTGTGGAACAAAGTAACTGTAATGATTTATACACCACAAGATGGCTTTAAAATCTGATAAACACTCATACAGTGAGTCTTCTCACTTTTTGCTACAACTGCTGAGATTTCATATACAAGTTAAATATAGTTGATTCATAGTGTAATGAGATAAAGAAGATCTTCATAAAGAAATCTTGAAGATTTCTTTGCTGCGTGTGGTGTTTCACCAAATTTGTTTCTCTCTGCAGAAAGACTTCAGAGTTCAAGAACTGCCCCTGGCTCGGATTAAGAAGATAATGAAGCTAGATGAAGATGTGAAGGTGCGTTCATGTGTTTTCTCAGGCAGAAGATGTGGGCTCAATACCGGTATTCAAACTGAAATCTTGATACTTTAATAATAATAATAATAATAATAAAAAAACCAAGAAAATGGTGCTTCATTCATCACGTGACTCATAAAGCATGACTAATGAAAGTTTACTAACAAATGCATGATCTCCTTGCTTTTAAATGGGAAGATTCTGACCCACATTTGACTCCGAAGAGGGAAGGGAGCAGTTTGCACTTTCTTTTGTTTTTTCTCCTCCGTGTGACACCAAGCTTCTATTGGGACAATCTTTAACATGGAAATGAGATCCCAAAGAAGGTGTGTGTCGCTTTTCTATACAAGGAGGCTATTCTTAACCGATATTCTTAACACCAGCTTTAAATCAAGGCTGGTAGCTCTTCAGCCTGCCAAACCCACAGACAGATCTTCGGAGGTGGAAATTCCCCAAACTTCACTGCTGAACAATGCAACCATTCAGATTTGAATAATGCTATCAGGTTACTTTGACTACGGCTGAAAGTGTCTGTGCTACTTTCTGATATTAATGATAAATTTAATAGTTCCATACGTGTAATTGCAGATGATTAGTGCTGAAGCCCCTGTGTTGTTTGCCAAGGCAGCTCAGATCTTCATAACGGAATTGACGTTGCGAGCGTGGATACACACTGAAGATAACAAGCGCAGGACTCTGCAGGTAACAGAGCTCTTCGTCCCAGCCCTCAGCTGCTTCATAAGCTGTTGCCAACTCTGTTTCCATAATATGAGGTGTGTTTTGTAGACAGTAACTTTAGTACCTGTATTTATCACTACAACCTGTGCGCAGGACACAGTGCCCACTGTACCTGCAGCTTAAAGGCTTTTTTCTTACAAACAACTAACCAAAATAAGCAGAAAACCTTCTATAGATGTCAGCTATTAGGACCCACTTTAATGACTCCGACGAGCTGTAGCTGTTGAACTTCTGCTAGCTTGTTTGTTCTTCAGTAGTAATTCTGACATGGGCAAGCAGCTATTAGTTTATGTTGATGGACTTGCAGAGAGGAAAAGATTAAAAAAAATCCAGATTCCAGATTTTAAAAAATTCAGATTTAGTTTTCTTCTGACTGAGAAAGTTCCTCAAGGATAGTCAGTTTTGGGGTGATTCAAGAGTAAATTGTAACCCTTGACAGTGTCTGTTATTGCATTAAAATGTTTCATGTTTATATTTAGTCTTAAATGTTTACCTGAACTACTAAAAACTATAATTGTCATTAGTTAAGGACCTCATTCTGAGGTGAGACACTGATTTTTCTTTCTTAAAGCCCAGGGTTAGATCTCCTGAACTCTGATACAGAGATTGCTGTCTCAGCAAGGAGACATGTCTGACTTCAGTCTAAATCTGTCCTGTTGAATGTGCAGCTAGCCACTCCACTTGCACTAAATTAAGCTAATGCAACTTGCCTAACCCAGATTTGAATGTAGTTACTAGGGGAAGGATGTGTTTGATATACGTATCACGAGCAAGAGGCTTCATAAGCAGCAAATGCTGACTCAGTCATGTTCTGCTAGCAGTTTTCAAGCTCTGATGAATCCTTTATTTTGGAATCAAACTTAAATCTTGATCCTAATATGTAGGACCTTGAATTGACTCGGGTTTTACTTCTGACCGCCTTTCTTTCCACAGCAGCTGCCACCCTAGAACAGCTGCTCTCTGCAGGGACAGTGCAGCTGGAGAAACGCGGCCTCTGCTTATCAAGTAGTTGGGCAGAAAATTTACAGTGGAGAGGTCTGAGTTACGGAACTGTATTCCAGAGGAAATTGGATTGAGCCCAATCCTGAGCACTGAGAATGAAATACGAGCTGCATCTGTTCAATAAAGGTTTTCTTCCTGGTGAAGATACTGTCTTATACTGCCTGCAGAACAAAAGAAATGTCTCTTACTTGTGCTCTCTGTGTGATCATTGTTTGGCACTTAAATGCCAAGACAATATAAAGTTTAAAAATGTCAACGGGCTGAGAATTTCAAGCATTGATCGCCTTCTAAATTTTACCTATTCATTAGGCAGCGTAGGCGTCTTTGTCTCAAGTCATGTTCACATGTATGCTTTATAAATTTAGCGTCAGCTAATGAAAATGAGACTTTTAATAGCTTCTTGAATTAGCTCTACTTTTTTAGGTTGTTTTTGCAAGAATTTTAAAATGGAATAAAATGATGGAATAGCTTTCCATTTTGTTAGAAATGCTGCTTTTTAATCTTCAGGTTATTTCAGATCTTAAACAAACACAATTAACTGATGACTTATTGCACACTAACTCTTAACTCAGGTCTTTAATGTCCTAATGCTAATCTTCAGATTTCTTTTTCAGGCAAGATATGAAAATTATAAATAGCCTTAAGACAACATTTATCTTGCCAGTTCCTCATACTGCTCATTGACTCTTGCACATCCCTGTTTAGGTACATATTTGAGCAGTTTGCTACATATATGCTTTAATCTATATACTTTCCGTTAACTGTTTTCCCTTCCATGTCCTAAAGCTTGTTCTTGACATATCTTGGGATTCTCTTGCCCTGAATGAGGTTCTATCATGTGTTCCCTCCTCGCTGCTTTCTTGCCCGCAGATTTGTAGACTCAGCATATGGTGCAGCTAATACTTGGTGATTATAATAGCCCAAGTTTGATAAGCACTTTTTTTTGCTGAGCAACTTGGAGTTCCCAGCGTGAGCCCGTGGTGCTGTTACTGCAACAGAAGTTCTGTCTACCTGGATTTGCCGTTTGGGATCCCAAAAGGGGCTCTCAAATGGATTAATTAAAAGCCTCTGTAACTGTAGTTAGCCTTGGATAACTGTATCCAAGGGCAAGATGGAATTTTGAAGCTGAAGAATGGTTTTCTGCTTTTGTTGTTACAGCGCAATGACATTGCCATGGCAATTACAAAGTTTGATCAGTTTGACTTTCTCATTGATATCGTTCCGAGAGATGAACTGAAGCCTCCAAAGCGCCAGGTGAGACAAAAACGGTTGCTCTGTTGTCTGTCCTCTCCTTCGGATGACTTCGTGCTCTGATTGACAAAGAATTAATAAAGTAGCGCAGCATCTCAGATTTAAAGAGGTTTCCGCCTCTCATTCTTCTTACATGCTCATTTGCCGTATTTTTCAGGTCCTTTAATATTTTTAATGAAAAACAGAGTTTGTAGTAAAGGAGTGGAGATTTATGGAAGTCTAAATTGGGGATTTACTTAAGTGACAAAATACTACTAAATAGCTTAGATAAATATTGCTAGTATTAGGTATTTAACTTTTAGAAATGTGCTGAGTCTACATCACTTGACCAGTAAATGAAGAAGCAGGAGGCTTTGCTTAAAACTGCTGCCTTCGACATCTTTTGGGGCAGTCATTGCTACTGTAAACATCCTTGACTGGAAGCTGTAAGGTATTGGAAGAAGCTTTCAGTCGGATGTTTACAGCGGCAGGCTGCTGCGGTCATCTGAACACGGGATCTTCTTTAAAACCTAGCAGGTTTGTGTTTTACAAAGCACCTGTTTCCCTCTGTGTTTGGGACCGTGCCAAGAAATGAAATGAGTTGGGGTTGAAGCCCAGGCGTGTCGCTTGAATGCACAAAGGAACAGAGCCAGCTTTCTGGGGGGGAAATTTATGCTCTTCACTTCAAGTCTGTTCTTTTTCTGCTGCTAATAGTTTACCAGTTCAGTGGTCAAGCTGTTTATCTCTCTTCTTTACAAGTTGCCTGATGAAGTGGCTGGTTTATCATCCATACACGTTCTTCTAGGTAACAGCTGGATAATAGGAAGAGAAGAACCTTGCTTTTCATAGTGTGATGGGCTGTGCTCCCATTCTAAGCCTGGATTTTGGGAGTTGTTGTGTTACTTTATTTTCGTTTTTCTGCCCACGTCACAGCTAGGGTTGCTGAAGTCCTGGCCAAAGGGCAAATGCAAACTTCATCCTTTCTGCTGGTGTGATCTCACGTTCTGCTTCCCAGAAACCGCGTGAGTTCCTGGTGAAGGTGGAGAACAACAAAGATGATTAAGGGAATGGAGCATCTCTTGTACGAGAAGAGTTGGGCCTGTTTTCTCTAGAGAAGAGAAGACTGAGAGGGGATCTGATTAATATAGTGCCCTCAGCATGCCTGGAGAGGGGCACATCTCCAAGGGTGGCACATTCCCTCACCGAGTTGTCTGCTTCATCCCTGCAGATGACTTATCCAAAAATCATTAGTTCAGTATTACATAAAAAGACAAAAGCAGCAGCCCTCCCGGCAGCTGGCTGGTGTTTATGTTTAACTGGGGGAAAGAGATTCCACGTTTCACTCTGTTCAACTTAATAAGCAGAAACTACTCAGTTGCAGCTTGAAGTAAAACAGGTGAGTGTTGACACTGCAAATTCAAAGGGTCTTTTAAGGTACCTTACTCCTGAGTAAATAGCATAGTAGCACTGTTTTTATAATTGCTCTGTGCTGGGGAGCACAAACACCTCCCAGCTTCCTTACTGGAACTGTTGAACAGGAAACTCATGGATTTTACAATCAAATTAGCAGGTGAAGTAGTAGTATGTTCCGTGCCTGTGAGTTGTCGTGTTAACTTGTCGTGATGATGCATCACACCAGATCTTTCTCTTTAGGATTTAACAGCACAAAAGAGCAGTGGAATGCGGTGTGGCTGTGCCTCACACTGGTCTATGCACTGTCTGTGAACACTGTTGAATCAATGAGGAATGGTGTGAATGACAGGAGAGGTTTGGTGGAGAATTAACTGTCTCCCAATGAGAAAAGTTAGGGCTTTCCAGTGGAAAATATTCCTTTGATTCAACAGCTTGGATTTAAAAGGCTTGCTCACAGCCTGCTCTCTTTGGCCTGGGATACAGCCTGTATTTTATCTCTACCACAGAAAAGACTGTTTGACAAGTTAGTGTTGGATACATGGGAGAGCTGGGAGTGAAACTGTGACTGTTATGTTGCTCTGGTAACTAAAGCTACAGCTTGAAAATAAAAAGACCGCAAATGATGGGATATAACCTAGTTTAAGCAAATTCAGGTTTAAAGACAATTTTCTCTGTAGCACATGCAACTTTAACCTGGAATAGATATTTATAGAAGTGCTCAGTCGCCTTAATTTTTTTAGGATTCAGCTGGGAATTGAGGATTGCAGTGCTCTCGAAATAACCCATCTAAGGTTTTACAGAAACCATTGCAGCTCTTCTCCATGCAGCTCCATGATTAACTGGAGGTGCATGTCCTGTTGTGAATATATTTTAAATTTGTCATTCCTCCCTCCCCAAACGACTTGATAAGGAGTAATCAGTCAATTTAACCCCTGTAGGAAGGACTGTAAATGTTGGATTGCAATGGTTTGCAGGACTGTTGGATGTTGCTGATGCTGTCTCCTCTGAGAGGAAGGCTCAGAAGTCACCTCTTGGCTGCAACTAACAGTGAACAATTCAACCTTTAACGGGGTGATTTTTTGCTAGGTTTTTAAAGAACCTTCCATTAAAAAGTCTTTAATTGCTGTCATTTTAGGTGACTAGCAGTTGAGGAAGAAGACTCCATTATTAAAGCCCAGTGCCCTATCTAGATAATACTTGATTAATTTGAGATCTTTCACTATCCAGTTAGATATAATGAAGGTTACCCACGAACAAGCTTCATTTTAATGCAAGGGAGTCAAGTTTATAACCTGGAATCTACCATGCTGTAGCATGTGTAAACATCCTACACTCTCAGCTGTGAACTTGAGGTGGCTGGGAGAGGATTGTTTACGCCTTCTGCCATGGAGTGAACATCTGGAGAGCTGCATCCTCTGTAAGGTGCGAGATCCTGCTTCTCTCGGGCACTAAAGAAGTTAGATTCTTGCATTACTTTAAACTTAATCCCCTAAATTTTACTCTTCTGGAAAAGCTGGCTTGGGGTAGGGGTTTTGAGTGTTGATTCATTCCCTCTTTTTGCTCCCTTTTTTCCCCTGTACCGCAGGAGGAGGTGCGTCAGGCTGTGACCCCAGCTGAACCTGTCCAGTATTATTTCACTCTTGCTCAGCAGCCTGCTGCAGTGCAGGTTCAGGGACAACAGCAAGGACAACAGACCACCACGTCTACAACCACCATCCAGCCGGGGCAAATCATCATTGCGCAGCCCCAGCAGGGGCAGGTGAGTCACGTGCAGAGCGCGAGGGCTCTGCAGCACAGTGGAGCCACTGAAATCCTCAGTTTGCCTCTGTGATGTATTGCAGGATCCTGCTCTCTTTGCTGAGAACAGAGTATCTTACAGAAATGTGTTTTCTGGCCATGTCCTTTGGTTGAGGTTGAGATGATTGAGACACCAAATTGCACTGGCCCCTGGGCAGGATAGAAGTAGCCGTTTTACTCTCTGTGCTACTGGTTATGTTGTTTTATGGAAGTACAGCACATTGTTACTCTGCAACAAATGATGACTGCCACACCACAGACTGCCTCTTCCAGCTAAATGAGAAGCCGTACTAAATTCCAGGTTGCATTTAGATGCTGTTAATCACATGACTATTCCTTATATTTATTTTTAACTCCCTAACTTCAGGCAGTAAACTTATTTGCAAAACCAAGAACAGGTACTGTAAGAGACTCAGTACAGATATTCATACAGAAATGTGGCCTGTCTTGTTCTTAAACCACTTGATTTTTCCTTGTCTTATGGTGTTAGTAAGGCTAACACGGCACCTTTTCCAGTCGAGCACTCTTTTGGCAGGAAACCTGTCCCAATTACCAGGCCATTGCTCTCTTCAGAGTTCTGAAATCCGAGTTTGAGTTCCTATTGACATGCATTTTCTTGAATAGATTTGGCAAGTCTCTTGGCCTCTCTTTGGCACAGTTACCACTCTGTAAAAGCAGAAAACAGCACTTTCCTCCTTATTGGCAGTGTTGCAAGGATAATTATACAGGAGCTGGCCAGGTGCTCACATACCTTGATAATGAGGGTTGCACATGTCCTGGGTTCCCTTGGTGGTGATTTAAGCATCAGCAAGCTGACAGAGGCTTAGGAAGCACCCTATCCCTTCCTACCTTTGTGTCGTGTGGCTGTTTCCCCTGTGCTCAAGCCTTGCTTGGCCTTTGTCCCTCCGTTTTTCAGACCACCCCGGTGACGATGCAGGTCGGAGAGGGCCAGCAGGTGCAGATCGTGCAGGCGCAGCCGCAAGGACAGACGCAGCAGGCGCAGAGCGGAACTGGGCAGACCATGCAAGTCATGCAGCAGATCATCACCAATACAGGAGAAATCCAACAAATACCGGTAAGGCTTCGCCCGGGGGAATGTCTCGTGTGAGAAAACTGTCCACGGGTGTTTTGGCATGAGAGCATATCTCTATACTCTTTTAATTATAGTAGGAAATTTGACTTGAGTGGTGTGTCTCCTGCCTTGAAGAGAGGAAAACTAACTAGATGTGACAGAAAGAAGGCAATAAATCTAAACCATCTAGTGTAGATCTACTCCCTGTCCCCAATGCTCCCCCTTAATAAAATAGTTAAGATTAGGAAGCAATAAACAAAATATTTCCTGGGTAAGTCATAGTCCTTTGCTACAACAAAGTTTCAGTGAAGTGTAGTTGACATCTGTTACCTCTACGAGGTTCTGCCTCTGCAATCTGAAGTCGTGACCTGTCAGAGTGTGTACGAAAGGCGCCATCTGTGAGCTTTTAATAAACACTTATATTGTAAAAATATTTCTACAAGATACTTTGAGCTAAGCTTGCTAAGCTTTGCACTTAACAGAACCAGAAAATACCTGCATTTTTCACATCAGTGTAGACCTGCTGACCTGAAGAAGGTGATTTTGAGCACCCAACATCAGTAATAAGTTTCTGGCATGTGTCCTAGGTAAACACGTGGGTCAAACAAATGTCACTTTTTTTCCTCTGTAGCTTCTAGTCACAACAAAGATGGCTCTTTTTCTTCCCATCTGGAAAATTTCACCTCTCTTAAAGAAGAAGAAAAATCTGTCCAGTTGTGTGTACTTAACAAGAAAACCCCAAGGTCAGACCAAGTGACCAAGACAAGCTTTTCACTTTGCCTTTGATTCCTGTTCTGATGAAGCTTATCCACAGCTGTGGCAAAAACTGTGAACTTTTACCCAAGTCTTGCTTGTCAAGATTTGCTAAGCTTCAAGCTTCTCCTGTCCGTATGTCTGGCAAGGGTTTTTGCTTTGACATAGCATCTTGAAAATAGTTTAGATTGTGAGTGTTGCCAGATTTTTCTAGTTGACTTCCTCCTCCTTTTCATTGCTTAAGTCTTCAGCTGATTCCTACTGCTTAGCTTAGAGTTTTGGTCAGAAAGAACATGGGTTTGCCAATTCTTTACTAAATGAACCATTTTTTTTCTTTCCCCTTCTCTTTTCTACATTGTCCACTGCTTTTCCTTTGCATTCTTCTTTTTCTTCCTCATGGAAGTCTCTCCAGGATATTTGTTCTTAAAAAGAAAAGACATTCTGGAAGGAAATCTCCAATCCTCGCCCCATAGTATTGTAACAGAAGTGAATGCAGCAGTATCCTCCTTTGCTGCAGTGCTGAAAGAACAGTTTCAAGCTTGTTTTCCCGTTGTCTCCACTGAACGCTCTAATTCCCTGCAAGAAAGGCACTCTGAGGTCTGCTAGGAGAAACAGTTCTTTAAGCAGCAGCTGAGAGGGGTGCCATAGCATTCTGCAGGATCATCTCTTCTCCACGTAGATAATTGTGCATCCTAGGAATATAAGCCTGGAGGTTTATTAATTAGTGCCTACTTTTGGACTGGCATGTGCTTTTACCCTCCTTCTGCCTGGGGACACTTTAAAACAAGTGGCTGTGGCTGGTCCTCAGGTGCTGCTCGTGGCTGTGAGGGAGAGAATGGGAGGTCCTGAGTGCAGTGTCTTTCATCTGCAGGAGCGCTCCGCGCTCTGAAGTTTGCAAGACCATAATACGGAGTAACTTGAGTATTTTGCTGGCAGTCTTCTAGTGAAATACTCCAAATTCTCACTTCTATATCCAGCTGACTTACTATTTTTACTGTAGTTCAGAGGAATCCTCTTAATCTCACAGCATGTTGAAGAGCCAGAGTTACTGCTGGGGAAAATCTTCTTGCTTCCAGCATGAGGAGTGGAACAGAACACAGGAACCAAACGTTCACTCTAAGGGATATTTTGGAAATCATTAGTACTGAGCAGCAGTACTCAGTCTCTTGAGCACTCTTTGTCCATTCCGCTCTTCCTGCTATGCTTTCATTATTTAATATCTTGATGATATAGTTAATGTGGTCTTCTGATCATTTCTTTCGTGCTCTATGGTATTTATCAGGGTCCAGCTAAGAATCTTTCATAACACAAATTTGGAAGTTTGAAATGCACTGGCAAAACTGGCAGTACCTGCAGCATTTGCCTGGACATCCCGAGAATCTCATTAACCTTCTCTGCGAGGTTTCCACGCGCTCCTGGTCTTCTGCTCACTTTTCTATTGCAATTTACTGCATTTATTTCATCTTGGGCATCAGATTGCCCATTGAAAGGTGACTTTTATTATTATCTCTTCTTTCCTAAGCTTGGAGTAAAACTAGAAGGAAGTGTGCGTATAAAGCAAGTGCTGATCATTCGTTTGTCCACACTGCATTTCATCTATCTGAGCTAGACCTCCCTGGACGGGTCCTTTTGGGCTTTGCTCTCACTGCTGGCAAAATGCCTTCTGAATCACTTGGACCCATACAGTTAGTAGTGTGGTTAAAACCTAAACAGGAGACCTTCCGTGGAGAAAACATGCTCTGCAGGCAGATCTCGATGCAGAAACAGATTCTTTATTGAAATGTTTATGCCTGCATGGAGTTTATTTGCTCTTGGAATAATATTGGAGCTTTTAGACACAGCTGGTGAAGTCAGCAGCACTTGTCTTAATGCCAAGAGCGTAATTTCTGTTCTGGGCACTTCCAACCTTTGTCAGTGTGTCGCGTTTTCAAGTGGTTTATATGCAACCTTCCCCCCTCTTTCAACTTAAACTAAGGTTTTGTAGGTAACTAGTTTCAGATTTAGGAATATAGATGTTTGAAAGTTGAATAACACAAGAGAAGTGAGTAGTAATTAATGTTAATGACACGGTGACCTTTTTATGGCTGCGTTGTGTATTAGTGAACTAGGTGTTTATATCACAGAAAATGCAGTCTGAGAGTTGAAGTTATTCTAATGACACCATCTTCAAATCCTTAAGTATTTAGCCCTGTGACATAAGGGTTATAGTAAATAAAGATTTGCATTTAAAGGTAAAACATAAAACATTTGACCCAAGTACTAGATTTCCACTCAAAGCTTCCAAATATTACTGTCCTGTGATATCACTGGGTTTTGTCATCTCTGCTGTCTATTTTTTTCCTGTGTTTTCTTATTTTTGATGGACTATAACAAGAGTGTTGCCATGTACAGTTAGCTCTTATGAAAGTTTTCTTTATATGAAATGATGCATCAAAGAAATAACTCAACTCTCATAATGGGGAAAAAAAAAGAAAAATGTTCCCTGAGCTCTCTAAACATAAGCAATTAATGTGCTTTAGCTACTAACTGACCGTTTTCCATTTTGGCAAAAGAAATAATGTGCTTCTTCGGGGTTTTACTTCAAGAATCTGCCGGAGCTGTGTGGGCTTCGGTCTCGCTTTGGCAGGGCGATAGTTACTCATCTCAACCGGTAATCAAATGAAGCTTCCCAGTGTCATCTATTACTCTGGTTTCTGTTGTGGAAACAAGCAGGCAAGTTTGTGTGTGTTCAGGTTACACAGTTATCTGTTTAATTTTCTTTCCCTGCCCCCTCCGCTTGTCTCCAGGTTCAGTTGAATGCTGGCCAGCTGCAGTATATCCGCTTAGCCCAACCCGTGTCAGGCACCCAGGTAGTCCAGGGGCAGATCCAGACGCTTGCAACCAATGCACAGCAGGTATGCACTGTACTAGCAAGGCTGACATTAACCATGAAAGTGTTGTTCCCTAGCCTGAAACTGCGAATTCCAGCCGTATTTGCCAACTCTTGGAGTAGGAGTCCTCTCTTCCCATTACCTTGATCAGAATAATAAAACAAGGAGCGTAGTGGAAGTCTCCTACGTATATGTGAAAGGTGCATGCATGTGTATGTGGCTCGCTGTATAAAGCTCATGCTGCTTCTTAGCCGGTTGCAGCCAAAACTTCGGCTCATCAGCCTTTTCTCTTTACTTTGGCTCCTTCTGGCTGGGTGAGGGAAGAGCACTGGGAGCTCCTGCACAGGTGAAACATCAGGACCAGTGCTGCTGTCGCCAGCTCGTGCCACGTTCTTGCCAAGACTGGTCACTAAGAGATTCTTCTATGTCAGAGGATAGGAAGGCCGCTGCTTTTCTGTGATCTCGGAGGCCACGTTCTCCTTACAAAAAGCGGAGAGGAGATGCTTGTGTTTGGTTTGGAATGTCTGAATCCCGTGTTCTTTGTTCCTGACTTGCAGTCAGCACCAGCATGACCGCGGGCAGGCAGCCTAAGCCTTATCTTCCCGGGCAGCGAAGTTCAGGAGTCTGAAAGTGCTGAAAAGGCAGCAGCAGAATGTTGTTAATGGGGTGCTGACCCTCTCCAAAATGCTCTCCCTGATTATCCTTCTCTTTCTGTTGCAGATAACACAAACAGAAGTCCAGCAAGGACAGCAGCAGTTCAGCCAGTTCACAGATGGACAGGTAAAAACTCGGCGTTTGTGGGTACCGCATCCCTTTGAAGTCAAAAGCGGGACAGACTCTTTAAGCTCTGCATGTTCCAGCAAATCTGGTAAAACTGCTAGCAAAGCCCAAGGGGAAGAGCAGGATAAACAGATGTTGGGCCAGTCTAATTCAGGTGGTTTCTTCTTTTGCTACACTTGCTCCAAGTTAATCTGATCTCATGCAGTCTGGCTGGGGTCTGTTTTAATCCTAGCCAGTTTAGGAATCGTGGTCTTAACTCTCAACTGTTGTATAAACCGTCTGAGCTCAGCCTAGGCATCAGAAATTCACAGAATTGTTTTAATTTAGCACCAAACGCCTAGGAGCAATTTGTGATACGGTTTTGGAGAGGCAGATGTTATTTGGACCTTAGAGGTGCTGTTAGAGCTGCACTAATCTTGTGGGGTTAAGGCCCGGGATCCACTTTGAGAGCAAACGAGGCTGGACACGATGAGAACTGATGGCCTCTTTTTTTCCCCCATGCTTCTGTCCCCGCCAGCAACTCTACCAGATCCAGCAAGTGACCATGCCTGCAGGCCAGGACATTACCCAGCCCATGTTCATCCAGTCCACCAACCAGACCTCAGACGGCCAAGCCACGCAGGTGACGGGGGACTGAGCGGCGCCGCCGGAGCCCGTGTCCGCGGCGCGTGGAAAGGAACGTGCCGCAGCAGCCTGACGTTGGCCACGGCTCCCGTACCTCCACCTCTGCGTATCTGTACTTGATACTAAGCCTATAGTAGGCTGTGCTCCGTGGCGCGCTCCATGCCTTCCTCTGGTGGGTATTGAGAGAATATCCGGCAGAAACTGACAAGGATGCAATATTTGTATTTTATTTTTTAGAAATCACTATTTCAGCTGCTTGCCCAACCTCGTAAAACTGAAGCGAATGAAGCAAAAGGAATTTATAGCGTCCCATTGAACAATGTGTAAACTGTTTTTTTATCTAGTAAGGGTATTAAAGGGTACTGCATCTGGTTTGTCCTAAGAGCTTTATTCCTGGTATTCTGTTTGTACTCTTATTTGAATAGATCTAGATCAAGTCCTCCCATCCCGGTGGTTCATTAGGGGTGCAGGGGAGAGTGTGTGTATGTTAGATGTTCCTCTCCTGCCTCCTTTCTTGGAAAGCATTGGATATATTCAGCTGAGGGGCAGGGAGGAGAGAAGGAATAATTAAAACAAAAACAAAAAACATTCCTTATTACAATTGTATTTTCAAAGGGGCAAAAGTTTTTTTTTTTGTTTTTGTTTTGTTTTAATTTGGCCTGGTCTATTCCAGAAACACCAAAGGAAGTCTGGACAAGCCCCAGCCCTGTTGTTAACCGTTGTACTAGCTTCAGTCGATGCATGTAATATAAGCTCATAAAACAAAATAAATTTCCTTTGTAAGATAGTCACGTGTGCTTTATTTGGTGGGCACCACTGTTTGATATCCACTGGTCAAGCAAAGAGAGGCCGGAGTCCCTGAAAAATCCTGCGCTGTAACAAGCAAAAAGAGCCAGAGGGTTGGAGGTGGCCTGGAGCAGGGTTTGGATGCAGCCTAGGAATATCAGCAGGGGCAGGAAAAAGATCCATGGAAAAGATGAAGTGGGGAACAAATACTCAGGTGGCAGATCCAGCTGTGGGGAGTGGCCACGAGAGGGCACCCATGGGCACCCACTTCCCTGCCGGGGCTGGTGTTGGATGTCCCGTCCTGCCGGGATCGCGTGGGGACGGCAGCCGGGGCCGGGAGCTCGTGCGAGGGGTTAATATCGGGGATGATGGTGAGGTTTGTGAGGCCTGTTTGTGCCCTGAAAGGAGCGTTACAGCGACTGCCCAGCTGCAGGAAGGGTGTTTTGAAGACAGCCGAGATCCCAGCTCCTACAAGCCCGAGACATTAAGGAGAGCCCAGTCTCCATAGAAGAACACGGGCGTTCTGTTCTTCCTGGAAAGCGCCGTGACGGCCGGCCCCGGGAAGAGCAATGCGGATGGAAGTGGGAATGCCAGGGCCCTGGGAAGGCGCTCGAGGCCCTCTGCCTCCTCCGGAATGCCCGGGGAATCCCAGAGGAATGCTGCAGGATGCTCAGTGCTGCCCTGGCTTAGGCTTTAGCCGCGGTGCGAGGCCCAGGGCGGAAGGGCCGCTCCGTGCAGCGGATTCAGGAACCTTCCCGGCAGCGCTTGGAGCTGCCCGTTCCCCCGGGGCTGAGCTCAGCGCGGGGCTCCGGGCCACCGGGTCCGCTTTTCTGCCTGCTTTGCTGTTGATGGTGGCCTTGCCGTGATCCAGGCCACCTTCTCCAAGGAAAAAGTCACTGTCCTGAAGGTCGCCGGGCTGGGAGCGTGGTAGGAGCGGTGTGGAGTGGCCTGGTGCCGGAGGTGCCCTCGGGGGCTCCGTCTGGGGCTCTCCCATTCAACACCTCTGCAGTCCCAGGGTGCAGCAGATCCTGCTGGAACCCGGAATCCGTGGCTGCCGCACTGCGCCTCATCCCGCAGCGTCCCGCAGGAAGAGCCCAGCAAAGCCCTGGCGGGAAGGCCGGGAGCTGCGCGACGCCTGCAGGCAGCAGAGCTGCTCCCGGGGCCAGGTTGGCAGCGGGATCCCTGTGATTGGGCACTGCAGCCGGAGCCGTGAGCCCCAGGCTGCAGCTGGGAGGAGCTGGAGGCTCCAGCGCGCAGCTCCGGCCTCGCAGCCTCCCGCTTGCTCCGCAGCCAGGAGCAAGGAGCTCCTGGAAGCCAGGAGCTAATGGCCCTGGGCCAGGGCCAAGCCGGGGGCAGATGCGGGTGCTGCCAGCCCTGCGGCGCTGCCCCGGCTCGAACGGGACCCGATGCTGCTCCGGGACCGCCCGGCCAGGGATCTGCTCCGGCGCCCGATCCGCTTCCCAAGGCCCATGGCTCCCGCCTGGCCCTCGGCCCCGGGCAGGCGGCTTTGCAGCTGCATACCAAGGCTCCGAACTTACTGGAAATCCCGTCGATGCAAATCCCGGCCTCAGGCCGTGCCAGGAATTTGAGCTGCAGTCCCAGGGGGGCAGCAGGCTCCAGGCACACAGGCTGCCCCGCTCCCTTGCGCTTGGCCTCCGAATCCCTCTTCACGAGGGCCTGGATGGAGCCAGAGGATGTGACCGGGATCTCTGGCATCGTGAGTGGCTGCGATCCCACCGTTCCCTGCATTCACAGCGGGATGCCCCACATCCCATTCCCGAGAACAAAACCTGTGTGTGCGACGAGGAAGGTGCAAAATGTCTCCAGGGCTGTCGGTGGGACTTGGTAGGGCTTTTTCTTTGTGAATTTATTAGCAGCTTGCCAATTCCTACAAATAATTTAGAGAAATCATGTAGGTTAAATATATATATATATATATATATATATATATATATATATAAAAAAAAACAGCGATTCTTGTGTGCTTAAAAGCTCTCCCCCCTGCTGCCCTGGCAAGTCCCGTTCTGGGCTTTCCCAGGCCCGCTGTGAAGGAGCAGCAGGAATAAATAAAACGCCTCCGCAGCCTCCCCGCGCTCCCACCTCCGAGCAGGCGCCCGCCTTGGCCGGAGGCCTTTTCGGGTCACCTCAACCCTGCGCCCTGCGCTGCCTGCGGGCGCTGATCAATGGCCCCGTGAAACCCAAGCCGGCGGCCGGGCGAGCGCGCTGAGCCCGCCGGCCGCCGCGCGCCAAGGTCAGGCTGCGGCGGCGGCTCCGCAGGGCGGTCCCGTTGCGGGCACCTTGGTGCCCGGTGCCCACAGGAGCAGGGCCCGGAGCGCCCTTTGGCTGCCGCATCCATGGGTCCTCCCTGCAGTGTCCTCCGGCCAGACGGGATTTGGGCATTTGCCCTGCGCCTCCCAAATGTCCTGCGCTCAGCCAGGCCTATGTGGGTGCCGGAGCTCCGTTAACCCTGCTAAATAATCCACCAAATCCTCGGACTTGTTCTCTCCAAGAACACAGGGCAGCCCCCCTATGAGTTAGGGACACGTTGTGGCTGTGGAGCTGGGGGGATGCTGACGTGGATGAGCAGATCCCTGGGAATGTGGGCTGAGGACCAAGGCCATCCCGACCACACCCGGACCAGGGAGCTCAGGCCATGGGTGCCAAGAGGCTCTGGAGATCCATGGCAGTGGGATGAGCAGCTCCTGCTGCAGGGTCCTGCTGTGCCTGGTCCTGCAGCACTTGCGCGAGACGTGTTCTTCCGTCCCAAGCGTCCGTCTGGGCATGTGCCTGGTGCCCCTGTAGCCCCTGGTGCCTCCAGGAGCCATCGCGAAGTAGCGGAACAGCAGGATGGCACAGTTCGGGATACTGTGACCTGGGATGCTCCAGGTTGGGAACCCGGGATGCTCTGGCCCGGGATGCTCCGCACTGGGATCTGGGATGCCAGGGGCTCGGAATGCTGCGGCTCCGGTGCCGCGGGCAGCGCAAGGAGGTCACGGCGACTCCGCGAGGAGGGGGCTCCCCGCCCGGCGGGGGGGCGCAGAGCCGGGCCGTGCCCTTGCTGCCCCCCCCGCCGCACCCCGGGGGCGGGGGCCAGGTACGCGGGGCGGGCCGCCCGGCGGGGGAGGGCCCGGCGGCGCCGGCGGCGGCAGCTAAAGGCAGGTGGCACCGGGCAGCGGCGACAGCCCCGGCCCCGCGCGGGGACAGCGCGCGCGCTCCGCTCCCGCCGCGGAGCTGCCGTCGAGCCCCCCAATCCCCCCCCAAAACCCCCG